TTTTTTGTTTGATGGGTGATATTTTCTTGTTTTGAAACAATTGCCATGTTCAATCATTGCAAACACTCAAAAGAAAATAAGTTAAACAAAAAATCAACCCTAGCCAAAAGCCAATCCATTATCATGCTTTCTATGCTCACGAACAATGCATTATTGATTTGGGTATAACTTTGAGAATTTTATTTTATTTTTTGTTTGAAATTAGAAAATATTTGAAAAGTTCCTATAAATTTTCAAAGTACACGTTATTTCATTTATTCATTGGTCTAAAATAATTAAATTAATAATAGAGGTTATTTGACAAAGTTTTGATATAAGCACTACTAAAAAAGAGCTTTTCACCAACAGAAAATTACCAACCGAGTATATCCGTTGGTAATCAGAAATGGATTATCCGTTGGTAAAAGTAATCCATTTTTAGCTACGGTAATTGGCAATGGAATTGTCGTTGGTAATGGCGATATCTCATTGCCAAGGAATATTCTGTACCTAATGTAGTTGTCTAACATTTGGATGTTTCACCTACAGATATGTCGTAGGCGATGTATCGATAATCACCAACGAACGTTATCCGTTGGTAATCAGAAACAGATTATTCGTTGATAAAAGTAATCCATTTTTAGCTACGGTAATCGGCAACGAAATTACAGTTACCACAGGGCATTTTGTAGGGATGTCAAACGGTCCGAGCGGCTCGTCGGCTTGACCGTTCAGCTCGTCAAAACCCAGGTAGTGGGCACATGGCCCATGAGCCATTTTGACGAGCTCGTGAAATATGGAAATTAAAAAAAGAAAAGTCAAAAGATGTGCAAATTTACATAAAAAAATTTTAAAAATCACGAGCTCGGCTCGGCCCGGCCCATAAGCTCATGGCACGTGAGCTCACGAGCTTGTGGGCCGAGCTCCAAGCAATGAGCTGAGCTCGTCTTTCACGAGCCACGAGAGCAATGAGCTGAGCTCGAGCTCGGCTCGCCACGAGCCGGAACCGAGCTCGTGAATTCGGCTCGACCTATTGCCATCCCTAGCATTCTGTCAATTATGTATATCAAAAGATATTTCAAGCTTTTACCTACGAAAAATTCCGTAGATGATCTGTTCGTAAAAGTATTCAATTTTAGCTACAATTTCAACTACGAATGCGATTACTAAAGGTGACATTTCTGTATCAACAAATATTTCGTGCATAATATAGTTAGCTAAGATTTGGATCTTTCATCTACGGGTATTCCATAGGTGATGTAAATCAATTTTTGTTAATAAAAGATGGTTCAAGCTTTTACATACGAATGAATATAATTTCTATCACCTACGATAAATCTGTTGATGATATTAGGTATAACAATTTTGAAAATGATAATATTGAACTAATTAGAGGTAATGGTTAATCGCTCAACGATTAATGTAAATAACGATATTTCATTCAACATTCGAATTTTTTGAAATGACGAGGCTTTTACCAATGGACTTTCCATTGGTAATGGAAAGACATTCACAAACGGAAATCTTGTTGGTAAAAGTAATACACTATCAACATCCCTTAAAATAGCAATGGATTTTTGGTCGATCTTATTCCGTTGGTAATTACTAGTAGCAACGAATATCGTGGCTTCAGGAACGGAAAATCCATGCTTGAAGCCATGTTTTTTAGTAGTGAACTTTTAGAACATTTTGATAAAAATTTATGAAATTTGTAAAAATCATAATTCCTATGGAATGTATAGTCAAAGTTGAAGTTTGGAAAGTTGAAAACCTAATAAAATTTTAGCAATACTTTATGCACTAAATATAGGAAAGTGTCTTAAACGCTTATACTCGTAAGTCTTGAGGCTTAACCTCCGAGCCTTACACCTTTTAGAATCTTAATTATATCTACCAAATAAAGTAGAACTCGCCATACGTTGAAGTCCACCTTCCACCTTCCAACTTCCATCCAATATTATTATGAGTAATGTTGTTCATCTAGATTTTCAAAATTCAACAATTTAAGTGTCATTAAGTGATTAAATATTTTAAATGAGATCTATATCCCTACATTTAAGAGATTTAAATACTTAATGCGATTTAATTACATGAACGTCCATTATATGTATTTCTTATTTTATATTTTCTTATGTTTCAAATAAAATGGAATGGGATTTGCACGAGTTTGTCAAGTAAAATGAATTCTTAGCTGAAATCCACTGCCGGGTCTCGATGGCCCTCACTTTATATAAGTTGTGGAATTACCCTCTGACATCATGTTAGAAATTTATAATGAGGAATTTTCTCATCCACCTTAATCTCGAGCAGTAATTTAAGGATGATATTGTATGTGTTGGTACATTTTAATATATTAAATTCACTCATTGCATTTTTTTTATTCGGTTTGTAGGTTTTGGAAGTTAGGAAAGCGAAAAGGTTGGAAGTTTGGAAAATGAAATGTGAAAAGGTTCCTATGTTTATTACACTTCTTTATTTTGGGTAGCCCCCGTTTTGACTGATAAATAGGATTATTCCTTAATCATTCATCACCAACAAAAAAAAAAAAAAAAAAAAAAAAATCACAATTCTCTCATCTTTTCTTCTTACATTTTTACTCATTTTCTTTTAGAGATTATTGGGCAAAGAAGGATGTTCTTTTAGTGGAGCTTTGGAGTCTTGTATCTTGTAGAGAACAAGTCATAGAGAAGTTCGGTTGCTCCGTATTTTAGGTTTTGCCAACTGTAGAGAGCTTAAATCTCCTAAAAGAGAGCGAGATATTTGCACCTAGTCTTTCCGATTTCGTTATTTTCCTATTCTTTTTGTAACTCTATTTTCTATTATTGAAATTTCACCAAAATTTTAAGAATTTGGCGCTATTTGCTTTTGTAAGGCTAACAAATCCTAAAATACCAAAATTGGGTGTTAGAATTACCACTTTTTTTTTTTTTTTTTTTTTTTTTTTTTTGATATGCAAGTATAGCATATAGATTTTTAGATATTGAAAATAATATTATCTTTGGATTAGGTGATGCTATTACACGAAAATAAGTTTCCTTTCAAAACCAAAAATAGTGGAGGTGGAGAATTAAGATGAAATATTTTATCAGAACCAAATTCTTCTACTCATTTTTCAAACCAAAAAAATTTCCAAATTGAACCTAGAAGGAGTAAAAGAGCTCAAGTTGAAAAAGATTTTGGCCCCAACTACTATGTTTTCAATATTGAAGAGACTCCATTTTCTTTACAAGAAGTTTTTACATCAATCGATGCTGTGTTTTGGAAAGAGGCTATAAATGATAAAATGGATTCTCCAATCTTTAACAGCACTTGAAAATTGGTATAATTACCACCGGGTTGAATAAATATTGGCTGTAAATGGGTGCTTAGAAAGAAATATAGCCCATGTTTGTTTCCCATATTTTCTTCATTAAAATGAAAAATATGACTGTTATCCATTATATCAAGGCACCAAATTTGAATTTCTATTTTTTGTGTGGGAGCCATAACGGCTATATTTTTCATTCTCATTTTTATATTAATGTGTACCAAACGGGACCATAAATAGGATGGTACAGTCGATAAATTCAAGGTTAGACTTGTTACAAAAAGATTTAAATAGTCGACTTTGATTTTTTCGATACTCTTTCTCCAATAACTAGAGTCACATCCATTAAGCCCCGGTTTGATTCCCATTACTTGAAAATGAAAATGGGGGGAATAGTATTTTTTAGAAAAATGAGTGGTTGAAAAAAAAGGAAAAGTTTTCAATTTACGTATAATATTATTTTATGGAAGATTGTATGGTTGAAAATAAGAGAGAGAAAAATAAAATGTAATGTAATTTAATTTAATGGGGATCAAACAATGACTAAATTATTGATTTCAGTGGTTGCAATTTATAATTTTGGAATTATCATATGGATGTGAAAACTGCATTTTTGAATGGGGATCTAGATGAGGAAATTTATATGGATCAACCCGAAAACTTTGTAGAGCCTGGACAAGAAAGCTGAGTGTTTAAGCCAAATAAATCCCTATATGAATTAAAATAGGCATCTAAGCAGCGACACGAAAAGTTTGATTTCTTCATGATTAAAAATAGTTTTAAAACCAACGAGAATGATAAGTGCATATATTACAAATTTTCTAAAAATTTCACACATCATTGTTAATCTTTATTTGGATGATTTAATTTGTTGATATTTGGTTCAAATTTGCATGCTATAAGTGAGACAAAAAGCATGATTTGTAAACATTTTGATATGAAAGATCTTGTTGAGGCTAATTTCATTTTTTGTATGAAAAATCACGAAAATAGATTATGGCATTTTTCTTGATCAGGCTCATTAAGTTGACACAATGGAAAAATATAATTATTATGATTGCAAGCATTTCGCTACTCCTTTTGATTCTAATGTTCACTTATTTCCTGTGAATATTAAAAATAATTTGATTAATCAAAAGGAATATGATAGCATAATTGGTACCAAGTGTTATGTAACTGATTGTTGGCATCTGCAAGTGAGGAAGAAAATTTGTTAACAAATCTCTCATCTCCTCTTCTTACATTCTCACTCATTTTATTTGAGAGAATATTGAGCAAAGACGGGTGTTCATTTAGTGGAGCTTTGAGCTTAACTACTTGTGCAAAGTTTTTTTGATCTATACAATGAACAGTTGGATTGTTGTATCCTGAAAGGAACAAGTCATAGAAAATTTCTGCTACGTCGTGTTTTAGGCTTTTTCAACTGTAGAGGGCTTGAATCTCCATAAAAAGAGCGAGATATCCGCACCTCAGTTGGTCTGGTTTTGTTATTTTCCTATTCATTTTATAGCTCCATTTTCTATTGTTGAAATATCACCAACAATATGTACTCAATCTACTAGTTCTTTTGTTCTATAGAAATTACAAGAAATACTGAAAATATGAACAGATCATGCATCATAAACCTGCCAAATTTTATGTTGACTTTTATTGTGTATAATCATTTGTGTATGCACATTAATATGAAGTTCCCTATATATATAATAATTAAGAATTGACTTAAACGCGCGTAAACTTATTATATAATATCTTAGAGATGGGGAACGTTTGGTAAGTTGCAATGTGACGAAGATGATCGCATTAAGCAGCTCCATAGATCACAATCATTATGATTAAAATCCAACTTAGAATCAGTACCGTCATGCGTTTTTTGTTGCTGTAATTGTAGTCGTTGATCATTATCATCAATGGAACTGGTGCAAAAACTCGTAAAACCAGCAGATAACTGCTTAGAATTTGTCTCATTTTCACCATTGAGGTGTGATGCCACCATCTTGTCAAGTGTTACCCAATCTTGACAACCGGCCGCTGGTTGATTAAAACTTGGCCTGCACGGAGAAGTGTACTCGGGGCTCTCTAAACTCGGCAGTTGAAGGAATCTATCTCGATCGAGGCTACTGTTTATCAGCATGCCTAATTCCTCCTTGCATGTACTACCCATGTACTCGAGTATTTGGTCTAATGTCCCTTCCTCCGATGAATTCAACAATTTTTTATCGTCCGATGAATTAGTGATGATCATCCGAGTGTTATCAAGGGTCTTATAATGATTTTTCTTCTTAAATATTCGACAAATCGCCCACCCCTCTTCTTGTGTTAACCCCTCTGACACCTTAACATTGCACACAATTAGGACAAAGCTAAACAATTTTAATCATAAAGTGCAATTTGAAAATCCTTACAATATTGGGTTTGACGATGTTATCATCAACTTCAAGTCTATATTCATGCATGATCCAATCGGACTTTCGGCCATGAGGAGCTCGACCGTTGTAGAAAACAAGCGTCTTCCTCCTGCCTATCGGTCGAGAGTTACTATATATCACTTTGTCACGGCCCGTTGCTTTCCAAAATCCAGCAGCAGTTGCACGATTAGTACGCGTACCAGTGGGGTACTTTTTATCCTTGTGACTGAAGAAATACCAATCATTCTGTGGAGTCGATCCAATCTTGCATTTCTCTGCAATAAAAATATTAAACTCAGTCGCAGAAATTAAGAAGTCGAAGATCAAATCTTGTCTACCTTGAATGTCCCAAGGCTCGAGTTTATTAAGATCAACATCTTGGATAACATCCAGATCAATCTTCTGAAGATCAACCTTTTTTCTCAAATAGTATAGCAAAAGCTCTTCTTCAGTTGGATGAAATCTGAATCCTGGAGGAACTTGTGATTCTCCATTCACAAAGAAACTCATGTCAAATGTTTTATCTCTAAGAAAATCTATTACAAAGGCGATATATATAATCGTTCTACCGTCAACGATTTTGACGAGTGCTGTTAGAGATTAGAGTCTCGAAGAGATGGAGCCACCTACCTGCAAGGATAGGGAAAGGAAAATTGTAAAAGTGGACACCAGAGGGACTATCTCTGTCACTATAACAGTGACTCGAGACCTTAAAACATCGATCCAAAAGCACCACTCAAACTAACGAGTACTCTCTCTATTCAACGAATGCAACCACCGCAACGAAAACCCGATGATGGTGTCGGAGACAAGAAGCTATCAATGAAAAGATGATAGGAAGTAGGGCTGCTTTCTTGCTCGACATGTACGGAGATGTTGAGCATTCAATTTTGAATTCCATAAATTAGTCCAAATATTTATTTTTTCAAGTATTGTCCGACTTCAAAATATAACCTAAAGATGGTGTTTTTTATTTATTTGTCTAATATATAGAACATTAATGAAGATCAATGTGTCAATATGCAAATTCGTGGATAGTTTTACAGATAAGTTAGACGAACAATCCATGTACTGGAATAATTAAAATTATATAAATTATAGGATTAAATTGCAACAAGGTTTTCAAGCTTTCGCTAGTGTGGCACTCGAATCCTCTAATCTATCATTTGTTGTATCATGTATTGGCTAACATAAAACATTTTTTTTTTTTGATATCTAGGTATCCACCTTACAGTGACTAAATTCTGGAGTCTACACTTTGGCCCCTCAAACTGCAGACAGGTTAAACCGCAGGTTGTGTCCCAAACTGACCAGTGCTCAAGAGCCCCTCCAACTGATCTGCCTAAATGCAAAGCAAGTCGTTTCCCATCTTTGCACCTTGCCTTACAGGATAAATCCTGCCTTCCAGGAGAATATCTGTCTTCCAAGAGCCTTTCAAGAATCGAACTCACGACATCTGATCTGTCAACCTTGAAGCACCCTCATCTTTGTCAGTTGGGATGTGTCCTGGGGGGCCAACATAAAACATTTATTTGGATGAAAGGGGGAGTGCTTCAATGAGCATTAATGAATTTTACCATAGTCAATTTTGTAAATGAAAGTTGAAGTCAATTTTAGATTATTTTGGATAAGTAAAAATTATTTTATACAATTTTATTGGTTCATATCACATGAGTGTTGAGTAGCCATTTAGCATTCAAATAAACATGTGTGCAACCAATGATAGATTGTGAATATAAGTGCACTTTAAGAACTGTTAGTATCCTTAGTGAAATTTACTCCAAATTATATTTAATAGTATTTAGTTTTGAGTTCGAGTAATCTCTTTAAATAAATGCATAAAGCACACAACCATACACCGTGGTATGATATAGTTCAGTATATCGCCGATTAAACCAAATAATTTCTTAGAGGTACTGCTACAAAACAATCATATTTCACTTTCTATAATATTTCTTTATCGGCATTATTAGTCATTGGGTTAATGTGGGGCCTTGAACAAATTTCAAGTTGTTTATGAATTCACTTTCTCTCTAAAATCATAATTAAGCACAATTCCGTTACGGAACAATTAGAGGTCTTCATAATTTATAGGGTGAAGCATAACTTAAACAAAATATTAAATTCTTTACATATAATCATAGTTTTTCTTTTAGTAGACTAAGCAACCACTTCATATATTTGAACTTTTTAACAACCAATTTTCACTTGTAATTCGTCAATATCAACGTCAAACCATATATATATATATAGAAAATAGATTTTCCAAAAAAAAAAAAGTATTTTTTTTTTTAAAGAATACGTAGTTAAAAGTATGAAAAAATTGACAAAATTATTTACTAGACTAAATATTTGTTTTCATCAAAAGATCAATAGCCTAGACTAGAAATAATTTTGACTAGTTAGATAGCTCTTGGAATGTTCATATAAGGTAGAGGAATATATGATTTTATGAAGTTTTCTAGATTAATAAGATGTGATGGCCTTTTGATGTTGGGATGCATCAATATAAATGAGACGAGAAACAAGCTTGCTTGGAAGAGTTTTTCAAAATTTTTTTTTTTTTTTTTTTCAAATTCATTATCCACCACACGTTCTTTTAAAGGGGAAAAAAAATTCAGTTTTCATGTTTCTTCATGAGTTTTACTTACTTTTTAATAAATAAAATAAAATAAGTAAATAAAAAATCTTTTGAAAAAGCACTTATTTCATGTTTTACATGAGGATAGGAAAAAACAATTAGAAGTCGAGTCAATTTAGAAGAAAAAGACATTATGACCAAAACAACAAATAATTATACAGCTAAAAAAACGTGTTTACAATAGGACACCTAATTTCTTACGAAACTAAAGTTTTGATTAACGAGTTATTCCAAATTGCTAATATTAGTTTTCTAAAAAAAAAAAAAAAAAAACCTTCCATGCTACTTAAATATCGAAATACCACATTATACATGAGTAAACTTTTATCAACCTCTCCATTCTCCATTGCATTGAATATGATATCTCGATCATCAGAATATAAGCTCATAACCCTAGCCCATTTTCATTTTGGTCGGTACAGATATACAAATTCTTTGATTCTAGTTTGTTAAAGGAATCTTGAACTAAGAAATAAGTCCTAGAAGCTAAAAAAGTGGTGTCTTGAGCAATTGCAATAATTGGGTCCATCGAGATTCCAGGAATAGTAGATACTATCACACATATGATCAATTTGATGGAATTATTTGATCTTAAAGGAGATCTTCTATCGTTTCACACGTGAGGGGTGATTTCTTGATTTCACCCAATCATTAATAACTTGATTATTTTTAGATAATAATAGATAGAAAGAACGCTTGTAAGGAATCTTATTAAAATCAATAAATATAGGCTTGCTTGCCATCATGTATATATTGCAATGCAAAAAAAAATTGAACACGAACAGAAAATATTTTATTGCACGATTAGATAGATAAATACTACCTAATCTAAAATACCAAAATAATTTTTTTCTTTTTTTTTTGTGTTGACTGGGTTGATAATATGAAAGTAGGGATCTTAACATAACTCCTAGTTTCAAAGATCACATTTCATAAATAACAAACTCATTAAAATATTTCCAAAATCAGGTGGTAAATAAACTTATTAAATATTAAAATATAATATAATGTACAGTAATTATTTCCACCCATGCAATCTCACCTACCACATCCTATCACCCTACTACACCACCTTTCCTCTACCTCTCCACCGAAGATGACCATCAGCTCCGACGATTGCTCCAACGATCGTTCTGGCAATCACTCCAACGACAGTTTCAACAATCGCTTCGATGACTGTAAAAATTAAAACTGTCTTTTCTCTCCACAGAAGCTCTCCCTCTCTCTCTCTTTATATATATATATATTTAAACACAAATTTTTTTTATAGATGGTGGTGGTGAGGTGGCGTTGTGTTAAAAAAATAGATCTGTATGGTGGCAAAGATAATGTATTAGAGGTAATGAAGTTGCACTGCAGTTAATTTATTTGGTGGTGGTGATGAGGTGTTAGCAACGTTTTGAGTAATGTGTGATTGCAGTAGTGTTATATTGTAGTTGACTAGTTTTGTGATTAACTGTGTTATACGTAACCAGATTTATAGTTTCTGACAATACCTGTGTTAACTGTGACCAGACCGTCTGTGACCATGTCAGTGTGTCACTAACATATGTTGTCTATAATTAATTGTGACCAAATTAGTATTTAGTGTGACTGTCTGTGATCAATTCAATATTTATTGTGACAATATGTGATCAAGTCACAATCGATCACAGTTAATACAGAATTAGTCACAACTTCCACAATAAACACCTACTTGATCTAAAAGAGTCACCAAAACAAATCTTCACACACCGCAATCCAATACCACAATTCACCACCAGTCACTACTACTTTCACCTCCAACTTTACTACATTCATTGACCTTTGTTATCTGTGATTAATTGTGACCTATTTTGTTTTTAGTGTGACTATCTGTGACCATATCAGTTTAATTTGTGACTATATGTAACCAAGTCACATACAGTCACAGTCATTATAGATCTGATCACAGACAGCTACAATGAAGATAGATTTGATCATGCTCAATTTTCATCGTCACTACCACCACTACCAACAATGTCAAATGCTCACCACCATCACTTTCAACAAATTCTAACTATCACCATTGGCATCACCTCACCGCACCACACCACGCCACCACCAATACAACCTAATAGGATTGCGAACAACGGTAGCACCATGACCAAGACCACCACCACCAGATTCAACAAAAATTACCTCAACCGCCATATCCACTGCCACCAACAAAAATTAGTCGCCACCATATCCAAAAAAACCACCTCCTCAAAACCACCCCCACTGCACCATTACCACAGCTTGAAAAGATTACATGCTTGACTATCGTCAATACAACCTATCACCTCCACCTCCACCTCCAACTCCCAACCATCACCCCTCGCACTTCAGATCCACCATCATCTCTACAAGTCAAACCACCACCACCACCACTACTTTCAACACACCTCAAATTCACCACGACTTCTACGGTCAAAGCTCTGTCATCACCACCGTATTCACTTACAAAACACTCCAAATTTATCATTGGACGATAAACCACCAACACAGAATTATAGATGCAACATAGACGTAGAAAAGCACAAATGTAGTACAACTAGAAATAGAATTTAGTCCATTTGATGAAGACCCATGGTTGGAGTAGCGGCGGAATGCGATGATGACACCATGGGTGTAGCTCCGAAACTATGGGTCCAATCGACGGCGATTGGATTCAAGGTTTTTAGATTGTTAGACCCACATGGTGTTGTGTGGACAATCGAAGGAGGAAATTGTATTTGGGAGCTGATTTCCCCAATAGGTGGTGAGAAGTGAGGTTGACTTTGCAGGATTCGTGGGGTTGAAAATGGGGGTTAGGGTTGGGGACAAAAATAGAGATGGAAAGTGGATGTGGAATGAGGTGTGGTGGATTGACACCTGATTTTTGAAATAAAATTTATTTGATTTGATTATTGAAATGAAAAATTGAAAAGTAGGTTTGTGCGTAATTTTCCCATGAAAGTATCCTATTTTTATGGTCACATACAATTTGTTTAGACTAGGCCTATTGTTATATCTTTCCATTCACTTCATTTAGATTAAACTTGGACAAACAAATGCTTGCTTCATCAAATAAAAGTATTTACATGTTTAGAGCATAAAGTTAAATTAACCATGATATCCCATTTTTTTTTTATCTCGATATAGCTTAAGTTTTTTGTGC